CATATTTTAAACCTCTCCTGCAATTTCTATCTCTACTGGAACCTCCTTGCCTCTGCAACCTCTGAATCTAGCTCTCTGCTCTATCTTCTAAGTAGCTCTACGTGGTTTTCCTTCCTAACCACCAGGGACTGTTACTTTGCATCCCAGGGATCGGAGAGAGCGCCAATGGTCGCGGCGGCCATTCCGGCTTAGCCAAACACGTGGCCCAATCCCTGAGGCTTTCCTGTGATCGGAATGCTAGAGGCTAGGGATTCCCAGCCCAGAGTCCCCCCCCCCCCATCACTCTAATCAACCTTTAACGGCTTTGGTGGCTGGATTTGAGCCGCGGTGAGTGCAGAGCACTGAAAAGAGCGTGAAGAAGCTTTTTTCAAACTGAGCGTGCTGCAGAATGGAGGAGAGCATGCAAAGCTACCCGAGCCGAGGCAACCCTCGGCGGCAGCCCCCAAGCACACCACTCTTGATGTTGAGGCATGGGGTTCCCAAAAGGGGAGAAACCAGCCCTTTAACTGTTTGCAGCGGAAGAGGAAGAGCCAGGAGGCTGCGCAAGGAGAGTGAGTAGTTGTTTCCTTATTTTTCTTATTCCCCCACGTGGCCAAGATGGCGGAGGAGGCGGGGAGGTCTCCTTCACTCCCGTGCTCCCCTTGGGAGGGACCATCAACCAGGCAGATTTCTCCCAAGCATTACAGTTACTCACTGTGGACCCACCTGTGGTGGCCCTGGTGTCTCCTGCATCTCTGGTGGCCAAGGACGTAGCAGACAACCTTAAGGCAGATGACAGGAAGGTGGAGATGACCCTGAGGAAGACATTCCAGTCTGCGGCCTGGGCCATCAAGGCAGCAGCATCGGCCTCATTCTTCAATCGCACGGCTATCCTGTGGATGGAGAAGATCCAGGAACGCATTCCCCCAGAAGATGTGCGACTGCATCAGGATTTAAACAAGTTAGTGGCAGTGGCGCAGTTTTGGGTTGATGCCACACTAAACGTGATAAAGTTTGCTTCAGGGCTATGGCATCATCCGTGACCTCCCGTTGCCTCCTCTGGCTCGGGGTGGCAGGTGGACAGCAAGTCCAAATGGCAGCTGGCGTTGGCCGACTACATGGGGGCTCCCTCTTCAGGGCAGCCCTGGAACCGCTCCTCATGGAGGATAAAAATAAGAGAAAAGTCTTATCCACCTCGGTGAAGAAGGCGGAGCAAGGCTCAACCCCGTTTTACCGCAAGCCTTCGTACCATCCCCCGGAACAGGAGGCTCAGCAGAGCAGCTACTTTTTCCCAGGTCAGAGAGGTCATCTGACCGCAACTTCAATAGGGACAGATCCAGCTTCCAGTCTCAGAGTAAGCAGCCCTTTTGACGAGGAGGTGGGCGCCCCTACCACCGGGGCAAATAGGTCGAACCTGACCCCACCCATTGGCGGTCACCTGGCTCTTTTCTCCAAGGCCTGGGCGAGGATTTCCTCTTGACGCCTGGGTAATTAGCACGGTCTCACATGAGCTTTGGCTAGAGTTCCTCTCCATTCCCATTCCCCCAAACCACTTTCTCATATTTCCCCCAGCGCAAAATCTAGACAAGCGCAGGCAGATGCGGCAGGCTATTAAGCATCTGCTTGACATTGCCACGGTAGAACCGGTCCCCTTGGACCAGGAGGGCTGGGGGTTCTATTCAAACCTGTTCCTCATGCCGAAAGCCTTGGGGGTGGAGAGCTATTCTCGACTTGAAGCTCTTGAACCAACATCTTGTTTACCGCAAGTTCAAGATGGCCTCGTTAAATCCATTCTAGCAGGCATACGGAAGGGGGACTACATGGCATCTATAGAACTTACGGACACTTTCCTCCAGGGAGGACTTGTGCATGTTCCACAACAACAGGATTGTGTTGAGGTTAGACACAGCCTTCCTTCCTAAAGTGAATTCCATCTTCCACCGTTCCCAGGAACTTGTTCTCCCAGATTTCTGCCCAAATCCGGCTAGGGAATGGGAACAGCAGTGGCACTGGTTGGACGTACGACGGGCCCTCCTTTTTTACTTGAAGCGGACAGCCTCCTTCCGGAGGTCAGAAACACTCCTCCTATCCTTCCAACCTTCATCTCTGGGTAAGAGGGTAACGCATTCCACCATGAGCTGGTGGATCTGCTTAGCCATCTCTCTAGCATACGAATCCCAGAGGTTGCCGATGCTGGCCAGCATCACGGCACACTTGACGAGGATCGCTGCCACCTCGGCAGCTTGGGCCTCCCAGACCCCGATAAACGACATTTGCAGAGCAGCTACATGGGCATCTCCATCGCCGTTTATCCAACATTATAGATTGGACGCGTTCGCATCGGCTGATGCGCCGTTTGGGTGCAAGGTGTTACAGCAGGTTATTGCAGAGCATGAGTTTCCCGCCCATGGGATTTAGCTTTGGTAGGTCCCATCCTGTCCCTCGCTCCGGAAAATGGCAGTTGGTTACCTGAACTGCTATTTTTGGGGCTCGGACAGAAGGCTCTAGTTCCCGCCCTGGGTAGTAGGATAGCTGGGGTGGTGGGAGTTCTCTTTTGTGCCTTGTTTTCAGGTCTGGGAGGAGCTCACTTCAATGAACTGGAGATGAAAGGGTGGAGCACAGAGGTGTGTCTTCAGCTTCATCCCAGTCTCGTGGCCAAATGGGCGTGTTAATAGCATCCACTAGAGCCTCCTGTCCGAGCCCCGAAAATAGTAGTTCAGGTAAGACCAACTGCCATGATATTACAAAGTTTTTCTTTTTTATTGTTGCTAAACATAATATTTCAAAAGCAGAAAAAAATGAAGGGGCATAAAAGTGCATTTATCACATTTTTCTTAGAACAATTAGTTGAACTCTGCCTTGTTTATCATTATTTTAGGTACTAAAACCTCAGTATTCAGGTTAAATTGTTGTGTTGGCACTTTGCAATAAATAAATGGGTTTTGGGTTGCAGTTTGGGCACTCCGTCTCTAAAAGGTTCGCCATCACTGGACTAGAACCTCCTGATTTTACAAGCTTTTGCTATTGCGGGCCGCATTTGACCCGCAATAGCAATAGCAGTTAGACTTATATACCGCTTCATAGGGCTTTCAGCCCTCTTTAAGCAGTTTACAGAGTCAGCATATTGCCCCCACAGTCTGGGTCTTCATTTCACCCACTTCGGAAGGATGGAAGGTGAGATTTGAACCGCTGAACTGCAGATAACAGTCAGCTGAAGTGGCCTGCAGTACTGCACCCTAACCACTGCGCCACCTCGGCTCTAGGCTGCAGGGTTAGCCTGCGGAGCCATCCCGGAGACAGCGAGAGGCAGGCCCCTGCTGCCCTGGGACCAGCCATGCCCCCAATCAACCACGATGACCAATCCATGCCCCCCAAGAGCAAACAAACTTCTGAGGCAGCCTGTGATGGGCTCAAGTTTGACACCCCTGCTCTAAGAGGACCTCATATGTGGCAATCATGTGACCCTAGAATGCTGCAACTGTGGTAAAAATACCCTGGTTGCCAAGTGCCTGAACTTAGATCAGTTGCCCACTGGGACATTGTAAGGGTGAGGACCAGTCATAAATCATTTTATTCACGACTGTCATAACTTTGAACAGTTTTTTAACGAATGACTGTAAATCAAGGATTCTCTGTATGTTCTCCAAATATACAGGGCGGGGCATAACCTTTTCCTAGGGGGTCACAGCAACACTTGTAATAACAACACAAATAATTCATACACCATTCGAAAGCCCATCAAAAACTGAGTTTATTGACACGATTTAATGTTAAATTTGCTTTAAGAATGGCTGGAAAATTCGATTCGGAAGAACAA